GTGCTGCTTTGTCTATGTCAAGGTCTCTGACTGAACTCTTCTGGATCTTCTTCTTCAAGATCTGTCTCTTCTGCTGGATCAGCCAGTAGATCCACATTACTAAGGTGTAGGTACTGATTGGTATGTAGTGGTGATGATTGGACTGTTTCGTCAGATGAAATTGGTTTTCGGCTGACTTCAGCAAATATTTCTTTCATTTGCTGTTCTAATATTTCTTTTGAGGCATTGGGATTGGTTTGAAACATGTTTCGTAAATAGGTTGGAAAATCAAAAGAGGTATTAGCTGTATTTGGGCTTGTCTGGTATTTAGGTACTTGTGGGGGTATTCTTTTTGGTGTAATGGTGGTGAGATCCATTTTGAAAATATCCCACCATTTTACTGAGATGGTTTTTCCCAGTCTAGGAATATAGGTGTAGTCTGCTGTATTATTGACTGATATTGTATAGTCCCATTTCATGATCCATGGGATCTGGTATAACGCCAACAAGCATCTCAACAAGATACAGATACAGATGAAATAGAATTTGATCAAATCATAATGGAAGAACCAGAAGAGATTCCAGAAACATCAGAAAAGAAATCTTATCTGGTAACTCTCCCTTCAGTTAATCCTTCAGTTAATCTAATAGATAAAATACTAATTCAAAAATGGTTTGTCCAAGTCAAAATTATAGTGGTAAAAGATTATAGTTTTGAAACTTCAGCCTTAATAGACCCAGGCGCCGACCTGAATTGCATCAATGAAGGTCTTGTACCTTCAAAATATTTTGATAAGACAACTCAAATATTGAATACAGCAGATGGAAGTAGATTATTTATATTGTATTCCACAAATTGTTCCTGCACGTTTTTTAAAGCAGGAGGTAGAACCAAAGATGTTGAGCCCTACACTAAAAACCAATTTTGAAACCATGTGGGGAATCTTTCAAATACAGGTAGCCGGAATTGGAGGTACCAGCTGTGTGTGTTATTTGGATTTTGATAGTAAAAGAATTTATGCCAAGCTTCAATATATTCGGCATACTTATAATATTTATAAGAGAAATCTGGGTTGTACAATTTCTTTCCTTGCGCGGGATTACAACCCCACTCATCATAAGAAAGTAGCTTTTTTATTTGGACCTTAGAGTAAGCAATTACTCTGATGTTCTGCTGGTAATAGTGAACCACAGAAATAGACCCTGTCTCCATTAAAATGGCCTCATAGTATTCTCTGGTTTTTACACCATTGGTTGAGTTTAAATGGTTAAGCAAATATAATGGTGCAAGTTTAATTAGGTATGTATGGATGTGTTGGTCATCTATGGTAATATCCATGAGATAGGCTCGTTCAATATATGCGGATCGAGGCATATTGGGTATTGAAGCAGACTTGGATTGGGCTGGAGAATATATAGGATTTGAAGCATGTGCTTCGGGATAGGTGATTTGATGAATAGGAGAGTGTGAAGGTGAACGGATTGACAAAGGCGAAGGTTCTCCTTCAAAAGGTATTAAGG